ACCAAATTCTACGCGGGCGAAGCCGCGGGCAACAACTAGTCTTATATAAATATGAATAACCAAGAAAAGTACCTACGTGATGAAAATAACTGCGTAAACGCAAGCGAACATAAGTGGAACCACCTATTGGTGTGACATCGAAATCAACTTGCCAAGTTTTCATGTCAGTATTGATGGTTTGACCAATCAACCGACAACTGCGGTAGCAGAAATTTGGGAAGTTATCCTGGAATGCCATCGAAAAACGAATCCACATGTTTCTAGAAGTGATATGAAATCGAGAAAAAGGTTAAACCAGTCCAAGCTGTTGGAAAATAATTCCATTTAAATCAGAAGATAAATAGATGAGTACCATTCTGACCATTCCCATATTGATTTCAATTTAAGAGCCCCTGGTAGACAGCTGTTTCAGCCTATTGGGCATCGTCAGTACCCAGTACCGAGCAAGCGATCCCCGATTGAAGACAAAATGTGAATAACCAAGAAAAATACTTGATAAAAAGAACTGCGTGAACGCAAGCGAGACACAAGTGGAACCACCTATTGGTGTGACACCCAAGTCAACTTGACAAGTTTTTATGTCAGTGTTGGTGGTCGATTCGTGGCATCCCAGGATAGCTTTTCAAATTTCTGCAACCGCAGTTGTCGGTCGATTGGTTAAACCACCAACTCTGACATAAAAACTTGGCAAGTTGACTTGGGTGTAACACCTATAGGTGGTTCCACTTATGTGTCGCTTGCGTTTACGCAGTTATTTTTATCAAGTACTTTTTTTTGGTTATTCACATTTTGTCTTCAATCGAGGACCGCCTGCCCGGTACCGACAATGCCCAATAGGCTGAAACAACTATCTACCGGTTGCTCTCAAATTGAAATCATATGGGAATGATCAGAATGGTACTTATCAGCGTGGTGTAGCCAAGTGCAAAGATGGGCAACACTTAGTTGTCGAAAACGGAAAAGACAACAAACGAAAGAAGTCACCAATAGGAGCCTTTCGGACATTCGTGGTTCCAGTTAGCCATAAACACTCGACAACACTTCTTTTCTATATTCATATCCTGGACCCGGAAGTCACACAGGTAGATATATGTAAACATACCCATACACATTTTTCATAACTGAGCAATTAAGCTTGGTTCATAAAATTTGAACTCATAAAATAATTTTTACTGTAATTAAATTGTAATCTGAAAGTACAAAAAAAGATTATATACTTCAATGATAACTAAGAAGGTACTATAATGATAATTATTAAGAATTACAAGTTCAGTTGTTTTTTCATTCCATTTTTTAACGACAAAACACAAGCACTACAAGAAAATCCTCAAGGCGCTCTAAGAGCGGTGCCTGTGCAAAAGTAATGATTCACATTGGATTTAAATCGCTAGAGATTCAATCCATTTGGAAAAACGTTCTCATCAGGAGTTTATTCCACATAAACGAAGTTATCCAAATGAAAGAATTCTTGAACAGTAAAGGTCGAGGTGTACTGAGATGAACCTCAAAACGATGAGCAGTGACAGTCCGTCGCGTATTTCTGATATGTACCGCTCTTGGTGGAATCAAATGTGCCAAGTCACTTGAACACTTCCCGTGAAAGTATCTATAGAAAAGAGAATTCTCCAACCTTTCTTAGAAGTTCCAGACTATCAAGGTTGAAAGTGATGTTCGCGTCTCCAATCAGGCGGATGGCTCTTTTCTGGATGAAATCCAGCAGCTTCAGGGTATGCTTAGGGGCGGAGCTCCATGCATGAGATCAATACTTCAAAGAGGGCCTGACTGAGCATCAAAAACTTCAAAGTTGCTGAGGTGTGTACAGTTTTCTGGTTCGGAACAGTTTTCCAAGCTTTTGAGAAGAGGCTTTTGCAATTCCAGCGACATGATTGTGCCAATGGTGTCCAGTTTAACCCCCAACAAACTTGTTGAAGCAGAAAGTGGAATTGTCTGACCTGGCATTATTATATCCGGTTCGGAGACATTACTAATAGTACTTGCTTTATATTTGGCATTAAATAATTTTTTCCTAAAGGAATATCAAATCCCTATTCAAAATTTCATTTGCATGAAATATTTTGATTTCTGCCAATTTTTTGTAAATTACACAACTACTCATTGGAAAAAGAGATTCAACACAACCTAATTAAACCACAAGCATTACTCCCAAACATCGGAACTGCATCAGTTTCAGTGTCTGTTTCACCAACCAAGTTGGCGTTCACAGTAGGTGATCTTGACAATCTAGTATAGCTGTAGCTACTTCCGTGGTAATAATAGGCGCATCCTAGCAATTCTAGACATCCTAACTCGAACCACAAATGTGCGGTAATTAGCACTCATATGAAAGTGGGTAAACCGAAGCTACGTGTTTCTGGCTACTTAGTCTTCGTCAATCCGGTACAACCAGGATGTAAAAAATAGGCAACACTCGGTTGCGAAAAACAAATAAACAGGTTCATCATCATGGGCCAGCTGCGGATTCATGGCATCGTCGAAAGACCTTGTTATGATTCAGCAACTACTCCCAACTTAGTCACGGGTGCAGCTACAGCAACCTGCGTGAGATCCGAGTCCATTGCATTGCTTCTGATGTTCTTTACATCTAGTCATGTAACCTGTAACCGAGCCTATATGTATTTTTTATATTAATAGTTTACTCAGTTTAAGCTATGCCACAATAGAAAACAGAGGTTGCATATATGTTAGCTAAGTACATATAATCAGTAAAATGTTCGTCAATATTAGAAATTTGAATACCAAATTGAAAGCTAAAACGAATAATACAAAAAAATCAAATGTGATTTATAACATTCCTTGTAACAATTGTCATTTGGATTATATGTTCCAATATAATCCAAATTACAACATTCAGAATTCTTAAAGATAGAATAACTTCACATAAAATTGATATAAAGCTTAATGAGAAATCATGTGCATTAGCGCAACATTCTATAGAAACAGGACATAAACCAAATTACTCTAATATCAAAGTTTTACATACAGAAAAAAAAATTTCCAAACGCCTTTTCCTTGAAATGGTTGAAATTAATAAGTCGTCTGATTGTATGAATAAGAGAAGTGACATTGATAATCTCAGCAGTATATACAGTAATTTATTGAAACTACACCAAAAAACATAATGATAATAATGAAAATTGTATCAATCAACTTTCCCTTTAGAGTCAAAGATTATCAAATCATCATGCCCATTGAAAAATGACATNAAATGCACTTTTTCAATTTTTTTCAAAAAAAAAGTTGAATTTGACAAACACAACTGCGACCCAGGGTCCTGATATGAACTGCATATATATATATAGACTGCTACAATTATTGCATTACAATTTTAAATATGATTCCAAATCATCGACAATTATGTGTTACATAAGTACAAACAATTAATATTTTCAACCTTTATCTTTAACTTGGAAGCAGGCTTTGTAAAAAGAACATGTTAGTCGATGTAGTCGATGTTAATAACTCCACGAGCCACCTGGGGATCGTCGTGGCTACTTGCAGTCTGTCTGACATGTAACGTTGCAGAATTATCCCTACTTCAACAAAGCCTTATGAGCTAAATTTTCAAATTTCGCGGGCTACGTACATTCAAATCATGATTTTTTAAAATTAGTTTTTATGTTGGTACACTCGTCTCGAACATATGTATACAGTTTCAGCTGTTTAGCATGTTTATTTTGTTGGTGAGAGGCATACAAGTTGAACGCCCCAGTACATCAACAACCGATGAAAATGTTGAGAAAGTGAAGAAAATTGTTATGAAGAATCGTCGAATCACTATTAGAGAAATTGTTGGGGATTTCGGCATATCGGTTGGCTCATGTCATGTAGTTTTTTCGTAAATTTTGGTCATGAAACGTATGGCAGTGAAGTTCGTTCCAAAATTGCTTAATTTTTACCAAAAAAACCGACGCAAGAGCATTACTCAGGTATTGTTGAATGCCGTCAACGGCGACCCAGATTTGCTTAAAAGGGTCATAACTGGTGACGAATAATGGGTATATATGGTTATGGCATCGAAACCAAAGTCTAATCGTTTCAATGTAAAAGCTCAGGAGAGCCAATACAAAAAAAACATACCAAGTTCGATTAAATGTCAAGGTTTTGCTCACTGTTCTCTTCGATTACCGTGGCGTAGTGCATTAGCAGTTCATGAAGTTATGCGCCGTTTGCGAGAAGCAATACGAAGAAAACCTTTGGTATTGTGAAGAAACAATTCATGGCTTTTGCATAACGATAATGCACCTGTTCACTCGTCATTGCTTATGTGTAATATTTTGGCCAAAAACAACACCGTTATCATTCCTCAGCCACCTCGTTCACCATATTTGGCCCCTTGTGACTTTTTCCTGTTCCCGAAATTGAAGAAACTCATGAAAGGACGGCGTTTTGCGACGATTGGGGAGATAATTTTATAGCTGATAAAATAGTGAACATAATAATCATTATTACCTTTCATATTTCAAGTCCAAAATTGACAGTCATGGCAATCAGCATACAGTTGATACGAAACAATAAATTAGTTCAAGCTCTATGGAACAGAACTGGAACTCAGAGTATCAGTTCTTAGACAGACAGCATTTATAGTTAATGACAATTGACAGATATTCTTTGGATTTCAAAATTTCCTCATTTTTTAAATTTGGATGTTTCGAAAAAACCTGAGTTTGGAGAAATTTCTTTCATTGAGATATCTGAGGACACGTCAATTATTTGAAAAAATGGCATAAATATAAGGGTGTTAACTATTCATGCGAATTTCTTATTTAAGAAAAATGTGTACGTGGTACACTATGAGCTGATTCTCGTGGTTGAGTAATGGGATTTCGAAAATATAAATACTTTCTGCAAATATTGAGTATTGTAAACTTCCTTGAAAGAACTAATGAATATTTCTTCAATATTAATCGACTCATTTTCGATTTCAATATTGGCGGGCGTGGTTCAAATAAAAAATGACACACCATAAGGTTCCAATTTGGCAACACCACCAAGATAAGCACAAGATAAATAAAAAGAAAAAATAGTCGTGCCCTACCTCTCCTACTTTTCGTCGAAAAGTGGAAAATTTGTTAATTTTGTGGCGTTTCTTTCATTTGTAACATCTGTAGCAATAATATAATTGTGTGCTCATTGAATCTAGCTTGCCCAAACCCCAAAAAAGTGTGGATCAATAGCATGAAATACAATAGTGAAATGACTGTTTCCCCTCTTGCTCAATAGTGATTGTTGTGAATGGTGGTATATTAGTGAAACGTCTCCTTATTAATTTCTAATCTGAATCACTTAGACGAAGGAAAGAGCTGTGAGTTGATTCCCGTTCAGCATTTTTCTCCTAATTACAATCCCCATCTTGGTTTTTAGAGATCATAATGAATTCTAACAGCCACAACCCACATCCACATCGTAGGAATTCATCTAATTTTAATAGGCATACCAGTAACCACTCAAATCGCCCTAATCACAACATGAGTCACCCTCACAACCACCAAAAATGGCCCAACAGATATCCCAAAGATTACAATAGGGAGTTTGAAAATAATTTCAACAGGAGGTGAGTCCTTGAAAGAAGGTTTCTCTTTTTTTCAACGTGCTAATTTCCATTTCTTGTTCCTAAGAGAGTGTTTGGTTCCTCCTAATGGCAGCCCGAAGGAACCGAATCACATGCACAACTACCCCAAGAACCCGCAGTTGAGTCCTACTCCTAGAAATGGTCACGCTCACTATAATGAAGCTTCCGGTAAGTTGATTATGAACCTTCCATATGTAGACTTTAATGTGTTTTTAGGGTTTTGGAATTATTTTTGTGATCTTTGTTTGGTAAAGAAGATATTGACCTTGATGTCGGCCAACCTTGGCTCTAATAACACAAAGGTGAGGATTGATTCAGGTCATTGTTACTGCCTGAATAAATGATCAGAAAGAACTTCCAATCACATGATACATAATTTTGTGATTAGATAAGGGTTCTAAGGAAAATTCACTATTTAGAATTGATTTAATTTATGAGCTATCTAGCTTTAGTATGAACGATTTGTGTGATAAAAGAATTCATGTTTGTAATAGCTGAGTCACAGTCCAAATATGTACGAAAGTGAGTGAAGGATTTCACAGTTATTTGCACACTTTTGAAAAATTGTTGAATTGCAGCTTATTGCAGCAGTCAACAGTTTTTACTAAAGTTATCGAAGCCACCTAACAAAGCTGGAATAATTTTTTTCTGATGTGTTTCAAGATGAGAGACAGAAAAAGTGCAATTGTAAATCAGCCACTTCAAAAGTAAATTTTTGGCCAATATTACAGTTGACCCAAGTTGATCTAAACTAGCACAAAATAAAACATTCGAAATCTAACACCAGTTAGAGATGTGTCGCTGAACCACAAATGCAATTTTGTCATTGCCATTTACTATTTAGACTTCTCATTTGATAGTTAAGTCCAATATTGCAATCTTGGTGCAGCCTAGCACCACTGATGAGACCTATGGCGGGCTGAAATAACGCTGCCTGATGTTGGATTACCAATGCTTCTTTTTGGGCTCTTATTTCATTTAGGTGCCTTGCAGTGACAGCTGCATAAAAAAAGAGAACAAATCTCGTTCGGTAATCGATGTTGAAGCTTGGCTTTGCAATTGAAAACCTTGGAGAGCCTTGATTGTCTTTTATATTTGTGGATTAAGTTTTCTGTTGATTCCATAGATGGCATCTTGTAAGGGGAGATGTCATCACCCTGTTATGCTAGCGAAACCATTTTGAAAGTGTAAATGAATTTTTGTCACTCATGTTAGTATTGTGTTTATACACACAAAGAAACGGGCATTGCCTAGTTTAGTTTCGGGCGCCTATGAAAAAGAATGTTTAATAGCTTAGGTATAAGCAAAAAATTATGGTATGTTATCATCAGATAAATTCAATGAATCTTCATCAAATTTTATCAATGAAGATTCTACAGTTTCCTCATCTAAATGGACTAATTTCTACATGTTGAGGTGTTTATTTTTGCAGTGAAACCCTTGACTTGAACTCAAACGAGTTCAATAGCATTAAGTTCGCAATGATAAGAGAGCAAATGCAAAATAATATTTCGATTTGGTACCATCTTGACTACATATTCCGTAAAACGAGCTTTATTTGCATATATTATAGACAATAGTTGTTTTTCACCATACTTTCATGAAATGGTTTATTTTTTTGACGAAGCCACTCAATGATATCCGCTATTCTTCATGCATTAGTTGATATTCTTTCAACTTTTCTGGAATGAACTTGCATTATTCACATAATCACATTTATTCGAAAAAGTCTTCAAACACATCTACGTTCATGTCTAGATTATGAAATTCATTAGGCAACAGAAAATTTATGGGAGGTTCTAAAGAATTTCAAGGTCTGTAAAGTGATTCAAGTTTTAATATGCAACAAAGTGTGCTTGCTTTCAAGAATATAGTTTATTTGTTTGTAAGTATTTTAAAATATTCGAAATTGATAATACTGAAAGCAAGTATAATATGAGAAAATCAATTCATAAGAAAAAGATCAAAGTGGTTGATCAGAGTTTTTTGCACATATTCAAAAAACAAAACAAAATAATTGTTTGGGAACTAAGCTATTCCTACATATTATGTTAATGATCCGACACTACCAAAATTACTCTGCACCAGACCAAGCACAGGTGGAGTATCTTTGAAGATTTTTGTCTCATTTTCCATGTTATTTTCAAAAGGTTTTATTTAGCCCTTTTTGTGGGGTTTGAATTTAGTAATTGAAGTTGACCCCCTTCCTATTGACAAATTGATCTGATATTTGGTACACACATCTAGTTTTGCTGACAATACAATTTAATGAATTCTGTATCATTATAAATCCAAGATGGCCGCAACTACAAAATGGCGGATTACATATTTTTTCACAACTATCTCAATATGGGTATCAAACGATAGGGCTTGACTAGTAGAATAGTAGTACACTTTGAAAAAGATGCAAATTCAAGATTGCCGCAGCTACAAAATGGTGCAATACACATTTTTGACAACTATCTCAATATGGGTATCAAACGATAGGGCTTGACTAGTAGAATAGTAGTACACTTTGAAAAAGATGCAAATTCAATATTGCCGCAGCTACAAAATGTACTGAGGAGTTGGAATGTAACAAATTGTCGAGAAATAAACCTTGTAATACTGAGGCACTAAATGAACTAATCAGAATGAGAAGAATTGAGTAACAAAATAACAAAATTAGAAACTAAAAACTTGAAAATAAAATAAGAAAAAAAAAATATGGAAACAGTTTTATTGAAAAAAAATGTACTAGAAGCTAAAAAATAATTCGGTAGGTCTTAGGTAGTAGTCATCACACCTCAGCAATCTACGGTATTGATCAGATAAAAAAATTAAATCGTGGTGCACAATATTTACATATTTTTTCAGGTTACGCTATGGGCAATGATTTTATTATTTTTTATCTAATCAATACCGTATTTTGCTGAGAAGAGTGGGTGATGACTGCTATCTAGGAACTTCCGAATTATTTTAGCTTTCATTACATTATCTACATCATTATTATCCTTTTTTTTTCAATAAAGCCATTTAACATAAAAAAAATTGTACTTTTGATGTTATGAACACTGACATATTGTCGACGATTTCTTGAGTAGATATATATCAATCCATTTCTCTGATGTATTTGCTCTTCCATAAGCTTGTAATTTGAAAAAAGTTTTTTGTGAACAGTGAAATAGGCTTTATTGAGATTTAAAGATACTTTAAAACGTGTCTGTTCCATAATTGAGTGCTTAAGAATATTGTTTCTGTATTGGATATTGTCAATAATAAAAGGAGAAAGTGTTTATGGAAACTCAACTAAGATCAAGAACTATACATAGAAAGTTGGCCAACATTTAGCTAATATCTAAGAGCATAGCTCAAAAAGAAAATGAGAATTCGCTAAGTTGTAATATATACAGTTATCATTGTCCATGGAAATTTCACAATTTTTTCGAATTTGTGTCTATTTTAATAATTGAAAAATTATTTTCAGTGGTACAGTAAAATATCAAATGGATAATAATTATGATTATGTTGGAAATTACGATTCTTTTTGTATTTATGGACATAATTTTGAAATCATATTTATTATTATTATTTTACCCGGAGTTACTATTATCATTTCTTTTTGAACAACACTCATATTCACATGAATATTTTGTTCAATGGTACTTGATGCATCCAAAATGATGAATAAACATTATTATTATTGATCAATTTACAAGTAATGTTGATTATATAATATAGGTATATATTCTTTAAGAAATTGATCTTATGCTTTTTCATTTTTCTCGTCCTTGAGTTTTATAAATTTTTCTGTTTTCCAAAAAATGTTTGTCGTCTATAGAGAGTGGACCTCACTTCAATTTTCAAAACTAGATGGAGCTGTATATAAATAAATGCAATGCTATATCATTTTATTGGAAACTTGAACATATTGAATTTGTTTATAACGTTGATGGCAAACTTCTCTCAAGGGCAAACATTGTTGGGGACCTCAGTGTTCTTTTCGACATCAAGGTTGATTTCCGACAAAAATGCTGGGCTTTGTGTGCAGGACCACAAGAGAATTCACTACTTTTAATTTCACCAGAACCCTTTATTATTCTTTGATTGGAGCATTACTCATGTGTGTGGTCGCCAAAATATGAGATCCATATAAACAGAATAGAAATAACCCAGAACAAATTTCTCAGATATCTGGCTTATAAATTGAATATACCTTTAACTGAAAACACACTGAGAAAAGTTCGCAAAGATATCTAGCTTATAAATTGAATATACCTTTAACTGAAAACACACTGAGAAAAGTTCGCACTATAACAAAAATAGTGAAACTGAGTACTCGTAAAGTTTATGCAGATATCGGATTTCTACATAAGATTTCGAACTATCTCGTTCTATTGATGACTTATTTATTTTGTAGAAATTCATGTTGAATATAGAATAAAGAAAATACTTATAAGCCGGTTTTGGCTTATAAGGCCATTTTCAAGTAACTACCACAAATTGTCAAGTTGTGTCTTAAATAGTGTGGACAGGTATCTGCTCTAGGTACCTGACCTAACACTTTACCAATATTACAATATGTCACGATTACCGACTATTGGATGGATCCTAAAATTCCTAAATTCAAAAGGGGCGAGCTGCATAGATCTAGTTGGTCTTTGAGCGTTATGAACTTGGGGTCCTTGTACAATTTATTTATTTCCAACGCTTCCAATAAATTCATCTCCCTTCCTTTGTTACATGTATGAAGAATTTTCATGTTTCCTTTATTTATTGTATGGTTTGTTTCTTTTAGATGTCCATATATGGCTGATTTTTTATCTGATAATACATGTTCTCGGTATCTTATGTCGAAGTTTCTGATCTATTGGATTGACCTATTGGATAAACAGAATATCAATCCATATATCACGGAGGAACTATGCAACCTCTTTCATATCTGTCTCACACAAAATTACTTTAAGTACAATGATAACTTCTACCTGCAAAATTCAGGACTCCCAATTGGGTCACCATTGAGCTCCTTATTCACAGACATTTTTATGGACAACTTAGAAAACACGTGTATCCTGAAGAATGCCTTATCCTAAAAACACATTTTATTCTGGTTCAGATATGTGGACGATATCCTAGTGGATTTTGATGGTTCGAAGAGACAGATAAACCAGTTCGTGAACTTCCTTAATACTCTACACGATAAGGTAAAATTCATGGTCGAAATAGAACAAAACAACAGCATTAACTTCCTGGATCACACTGTTACAAAACGCAATGATAAATTTCAGTTCAATATCTATAGAAAAAACACCTTCACGGACTGTACAATACCGATGGATTCTTTCAGTCCATTATCACAAATTATCGGCCTTCAGATCTATGATACATAGATTTAAGATCATAAAGCATATAGCATATAACAACCATATTCTCGCCAACTTAATTGAAAAACTGATCTCCAATAAGAACAATAAATTGATCATGAAGGATCAGGAAGAACATAAAGAAGGTAAAAAATATGCTAGCATAAGTTATTCAAGGAAGCTCTCAGAAAATATAAAGAACTATTTTTCAAAACTCAACATAAGCACATCATTTTCAATAAGAATAATTTAGGAAACATGTTATTCAGCGCAAAACCCAAAAGGGATAAATGGAAAAAAATCGGGTATATACAGACTAGAATGTGGGGACTGCCCAGCAGCAAACCATACAATAAATAAAGGAAACATGAAAATTCTTCATACATGTAACAAACGAAGGGAGATGAATTTATTGGAAGCGTTGGAAATGAATAAATTGTACAAGGACCCCAAGTTCATAACGCTCAACGACCAACTAGATCTATGCAGCATTTTCACGTATAGTATAACTACTCTTTAAGATTAAGTACTGTGTATCTCAAAAACCAGAGCTAATAAAAATTTTTCATTGTTATTTTCGTTTTTATCACCCCATAATTAGTAGAAATTGACTAATTTAGTGTAGGAAACATTCAAAAAATATTTTTTTGTTGTGTTGTGTTATCAACCGGAGTCCTTCCGCCTTACGCATCCTTTATGCACAATTTCAAAACGTTCTCGGATTTAGGAACCAGAATGAACCTATTAAGAAATCTTGTTATTTTCTAGGTGCCAGTGACTATCCCAATGAACCACGAAACGGTTTGGAGCTACGCCACATCCCCCCACATATCTCTGTGCACAGTCCCGCCGAGCGCTCCACCACACATGCACAACTGCCACCTGCACAACGTGTATACCGGCCCGCCGCTCGTGCCACCTCAGTTCCCGCCGCCTGGCTGTCTACCACCCCCAGGCTGTCTTCCGCCCCCACCACCCCAGAGCTTTGGTCCCTTCGGAGCGACTGCCGCTAGCGCACTGCCAGTGCCTGCTCAACACTACGCTCATCAACGGATCCCTCAACAAGTGAGTACTCTGGTTGCCGACATTCAATAACTTCATTTCAAATTACAATTCATATATTCATTCAATGACCATTTTGGGAAAAAATTGTCATAACGGGAAAATAGACTGAATTAAACCTAGTTACCTAGTAACACTTCCTGCCGGAATCATTAAAGAAAGGCTGCCAGATTGATTCTGTGTACATTGACTTCTCTAAGGCACTTGACAGGGTCAACCATAACCTCTTACTCCAAAAGCTCAACAGATATGGTGTAGGTGGGGTACTACTGGATTGGATTAGTAGTTATCTTACGAATAGGACTCAAATGGTTAAAACAAATTATCACTACTCCACGTTATTCTAAGTAACCTCTGGTGTTCCTCAGGGGTCACACCTTGGTCCCTTATTATTCAATTTATTTATTAATGACATTATTTATTGTTTCCGGCACGCCAAAGCAATATTATTTGCAGATGATTTAAAACTTTCCCTAATTATATAAACCTTGTTGGATGCCCATATGCTTCAGTCTGACCTTGACAATCTATCAAACTGGTGCTCCTTAAATGGGATGGACTTGAATGCCACAAAGTGCCATGTCATGCACTTTTATCGATCCCATGTACCTTCTACCGCTTTTGATTACACTTTAAATGGTCATGTATTGGAGTCTGTTAATCAAATAAAAGACCTTGGAGTTGTTCTTGATCCCACCTTGAGCTTAAATTTACATATACCAACAGCTATCCATACAGCCATGAAAATGCTAGGGGTTATCAAAAGGCTAACCTACGAATTCACTGACTCAACTACTGACTCACTGGTCCACCCACACCTGGAGTATTGTTCTTCTGTCTGGTCCCCTCATTGTGTAACTTATATTAGGAACATCGAAAATGTCCAACACAACTTCCTCAGATACATAGCATATAAATCGGGTGTTCGATGCGAGTATCGGTTGCTACTGCAATCTCTGAGCATGTCCTCCCTGGAAACTAGGAGGAAACAGAGAGAACCGACACTACTTTTCAATATTATTAACGGCAAATTCAGTTGTGCTGAACTCCTAGAAAAAATGTATCTACATGTTCAAAACCGCTCAACTCGAC